AAGCTGTACTAGCTTAATATATGATTCAAGAGGTCGAGTACCATGTGAGCAAACCGCGAAAAGAAAACGAGCGTTGAATTTTAGAATCGTACATGAAATTACCATCGGAATTAACGTAAAACTAAAATCTACAAATCGTCTTTATTCGACTCATAAATGTCTTCAAACATTTTAGTAGTTTTGATTTCCACATGAGTAATCGGTGAGAGCGAAATGAGCACAAGAATATTCTGATTCTGTAAAAATGAAATCCCAATCTCAAAAGTTAACCCTACAACTCTGAATTTATTTCATATAAACACCCTGGAAAGCTGTACTAGCTTAATAAATTATGTAAGAGTTTGAGTACCATGTGAGCAAACCGCGAGAACAAAACGAGCAATGAATTTTAGAATCGTATGTGAAACTACCAGTGGAATCAACGTAAAACTTAAATCTGCAAGTCCGCCTTTATTTCGTATCATAAATGTCTTCAAACATTTTAGAAGTTTTGAGTACCACATGAGTAATCGATAAGAGCGAAACGAGCACAAGAGTAACTTTAAATTTATTCCATAAAATACCCTGGAAAGCGGTACTAACTTGATAAATGATGGAAGAGGTTGAGTACAATGTGAGCAAACGACGAGAATAAAACGGGCGTGAATTTTAGAATCGTATGTGAAATTACCAGCTGAATCAACTTAAAACTAAAATTTGCAAGTCCGACTTTATTTCGTCTCATAATTGTCTTAAAATATTTTGGTCGATTTAAGTGCTACATGAGTAATAGGTGAGAGTGAAACGAGCACAAAAATATTCGGTACCTACAAAAATGAAATCTTGATCTCATAACTTAACCCTGCAATTCTGCATTTATTTCATCTAAATTCTCTGGTAATCTGTACTAGCTTAATAAATGATGCAAGAGGTCGAGTACCATGTGAGCAAACGTCGAGGACAAAACGAGCGTTCAATTTTAAAGTCATCTAAATTACGTACTAGCTTAATAAATGATGCAAGAGGTCGAGTACCATGTGAGCAAACGGCGAGAACAAAACGAGCGTTCAATTTTAAAGTTGTATGTGAAAATACCAGTGGAATCAACGTCAAACTGAAATCTGCATGTCCGCCTTTTTGTCGTCTCAATATCTTAAGACGTTATAGTATTTTAGTAGTTTTTTTACTTTTCGTCTCAACTCCCTAAAGGATTATTCTTATTTATTTCCCGGGGTAGATGTGTTATTGAGTTTCAAAATGAGTTGCTCTTAGTACATACCTATTGGCGGGGTATTAAAAATATTTTATTCAGATTACTACGAAATAAACAGTGACAACCTTCAAAGATGTTTTGAGAATAAAAAAAAAACGTTGGGCGTCGCCGTTATATCATAGCAAACTGTGTGCATTTTAATGAGATTACGTACGTACCTCGGTCACGTGAGAATAAAAAAAAAAACAATTGCAGTTTTTGTTCGCAAGGAATAATAAATCGATTGTCATTACTAGCAACCTTCCTTAACAGAAAGCAAATTAATTTCAGTCGTATTATACTGTAAGGCCCTTTTAGGTACGTAATAAAATTTCAATATAATGCATTAAAGACTGATGGGTTTCAAAATTGTTTTTATTGTTTACTGATATCATGATTTATTTTCACCGAGAAAGTCGAAAAAATACTTAGAGACAGTAAGGAAAAGCAATAACTACTGAAGTTGCAGACATTAGCAACCCCCGAAACGTTTGACGAAGATCAACTCCAAGTATCTATCCAAACGTACAACTCCTTTAAAAAATCAGAACTACCCAGTGAATATGTACCATCTTTTCTAGGGAGTTAGTTGGCATCCTCAGGAGAGATTATTTCATGCTTCAGAAATTCAGTTCACCCTGGCAAGTCCAGTAGAAGGTTGCACCGTAGAGGAGCAGCATTCTGACAGTAGATTTTAGGTCGCAGAAAGTGTAAAACCAGGTGTAATACTTCCTCCGATACGGAAAAAGTAGTAAGAACCGTGCGAATATTAGAAGTGGAATGATCGGTTTAAAAGTAGTCGAAGAAGTAAATGATAAACTCCAACGTAGTCGTCCAGCCGAAGTTTATTCTGGTACCTTATCGGAGTCGACACCTGTTGGACTTATTCGTGATAACAGAAGAATTGCTATTAAAATAATAGCTGAGGAAGTGCAAGCAAGTGTTGGAACTGTTCACACTATCATAAAGAATCGAGGCGTTCCATTAGTCAAAACTTAAGGCAACGAAGTTTCATTAAAAGAGATGCTTCCTTTTAAATAATTGTGTCTTGCGAGGAGGTCTGAATCCAATAGACACAGTAGACAGGGGAAACCCACCATCTCTTCGTTTTGCAAAATATCAAACGTACAACTACAATCCAAACGTACAACTCTTTTAACAAATCAGAACAATCCAGTAAATATGTACCAACTTTTCTAAGGAGTTAGTTGGCATCCTCAGGAGAGGTTATTTCATGCCTCAGAAACTTCAGTTCACCCTGGCAAGTCCAGCAGAAGACTGCACCGTGGAGGAGCAGTATTCTGACAATAGATTTTAGGTCGCAGAAAGTGTAAAACCAGCTGTAATACTTCCTTCGATATTGAAAAAGTAGTAAGAACCGTTAGAATGTTAGAAGTGGGTTGATCGGTTTAAAAGTGGCCGAAGAAGTAAATGATCAACTCCAACGTAGTCGTCCAGCCGGAGTTTATTCTAATCCCTTATCGGAGTCGACACTTTTTGGACATTCGTGATAACAGAAGAATTGCTATTAAAATAATAGCTGAGGAAGTTCAAGCAAGTGTTGGAATTGTTCACACTATCATTCAGAATCATTTAAAATACAGCCATAAAGGATCGAGACGTTCCATCAGTAAAGACTTAAAGCAACGAAGTTTCATTGAAGGAGATGCTTCCTTTTAAACAATTGTGACTTGCGACGAGGTCTGAATCCGTAGACACAGTAAGGAGTGGAAACCCACCATCTCTTGCTTTCGTAAAAAAATAATGGTTCAACTCTCTACTAGTAAAGTGATGCTGACCATTATTTGGGATTCTCAAGATCCAGCTCTACTGCAATTTGCTTGAAGATCAGCGAACTATCAATAGTCAGTACTACTCTGAGATTCTAGAACACAAACTTAAACCAGCTATCAGGAGCAAACGCCGTGGACACTTGGCAAATGGAGTCATTTTTTTAAGCACGACAACTGCCGCCCTCATACGACCTAGCTAACCCATGATAAGCTTCAAGAATTGGGTTGGGCGATCTTACGTCATCCAGTGCACAGACCAGACTTTGACCCATTTGATTTTTATCTCACTCAAATATGCATCAGGTGGAATCATTTTTGCCAATAAAAATTGCTTCGGAGTCAATCAAAAGAATTCTTTGCCAAAGGAGTTAACAATGTAGAAGGAAGATGAGATAAGTGTATACACGTTAGGGACGATTATGTTGAAAATAGTTGGAAGCGTTTGAGATTTGGTGTTATTGCGGATGATGAAAATACCGTCTGGATAAAAATGAGAGACTATTGGGATCCGTCAAATGGGCATACACCATCTGGTGGCAAAATTTATAAGTCGAATAAGGGAAAAAATTACATAGGAACTGTGCACGCAAATTGTAAAACTGTTTATTAAAATAATAAAACACGTTAAAAAAATTAAAATTTTCTTGATGGAGTCGATGAAGTTTTCTTCTAAAGTTAAATCAAATAAAAAGTTAATATGTTCAGTGAAAAGCTGCAATAGCACTTCAGACATACATCTTCACTCTTCACCTACATTAACTACTTTGCAATAAAAACTAACCGTTTTATATATGTAAAAAATATATTCGGAAAATTAGAGAAAAAAGTAAACTAATAGAAGCTTGGATGAAAGCAGTTCACGTCATTTTAATGCACATGATTATATTTCAGCAAGTATTTACCATCAGCCATAACCTTAATATTTAAAACTAGAATCATACTAAAATTATAAAGTGAGAAATTATTAATTCCTGTGTAATTGATTTAACACAATTCTAATGATACGATATAAGTATTTTGAGGTTAAGAACCTGCCTGCTGCAATACGACAAAGTTGCAATTATGTGTTTGAAACGTTCTCTTAAATCAGCTTTGCACGTGCAAGTCATTGATATGATATTGCTTAAATCACCCAGAATCACCTCACCAATTATAAGTTTGTAAAAAGTAGGCAGTAAACTTGACGGATTTTGAAGGCTAGATTCCAGATTTATTATTTCCGAATTTTATAATGTGATTGGCATTAAAAACACGCTCACCTTCAACGAAATTTCCTTTCCGAGGCTTTGTGTCAACCCACCCACATATTGTGTCAATACTTATCAGTTTATCGTAATTTAAAAACTTGGAAATTGCACGGTACACTATGGGAACTACGATAAATTTTCCCTAATCGGCGCCATGTTTTTAGGCTCCTCCCATTTGACGGATCCCAATAGGAAAACAGAGGGCACCATAAAAATAAAAAGGCATGAAAGTTTAATTAGAGACGTATTAGTTGCAGATACTAGAGTAAATGGGACAGAAAAAGACCTAAATTAGATTGCTGTTTAGAGATGTGGGCGTTCTAGTTTTAAGGAAATGCGAGCATTGGCTTGGATATAGAGAGTTTTGGAGGCGCGTGTCCAAGCATCAGTCTTTAACAGGACATTATTTTCCTAGCTTGATAACAGTGTTTTTACAATCCTCCCCTTCGATAGGATTTGCCTTTCCAACGTTTCGCTAGCAGTTATAACAGGCACCTTCAAAGATTACCGCTTTGTCAAACATGTGATAACTCATTTCACCTATCAACCCAGTAATAACCCTTGAGAATGCCTACTACAGTTATCGGCGATACTTTTGAAAGACAACTTCAACTGTTATAATCTTTAGGTGTAATTCTTAAATTCAAGCTTTATCTTGTAATTTTGAAAGCAGTTCTTCTATTCCTCTGTCAATTTCTTCTACTACTAAAACGATTCATTTGGTTGCAGAACAGCATTATGTGGCCGCAGACTCAAATACTTCAACCACCAAATCGTTTGTTCCTTGTAAAGTATGTGGCGACAAGGCATCTGGATATCATTACGGTGTAACGTCCTGTGAAGGCTGTAAGGTATGTAAATTTATATTTATTAGAAATCGCGTGTTGTCCCAAATCGAATAATATGCATTTTATACTTATACAAATAAATTAACCTCGTTATATTATAAACCCAGCGTATATCAGCGGTCTGACTAGCAGAGACGTAGAGTCAGGATGACCCAAGCTCCACGTATTGAAAGTTCTGACCCATGTGCTCCCATCATTTTTGCCGTTAAAAGTTTTGCTAGTATCACCAATCAAACATTATTACTTATATGAAATGATGAATGAAAGTTACTTACATTGGCCAATGAAGGTATTAGAACCTTAAAAAGAGGATAAATAGACATTCCATGAATGCCTTCTAAGCGAGCCCAAAAAATTCTAAACTCCTTGGAAATGGATAATCTAAAATATTGGATCGATATTGTTTTCCGGGTTCAATGTCATGGTCCATGGAATTTTGAAGTTCAAATTGATATAAGCAAAAAAAAATCAAAAACATCAATCTGAAGAAGATCAAAAACAAAATGGGGTTGTAAATATTTTGATATAAAATGATTTATGTTGATTTTCATCATCATCATAGGGTCGTCAGTCCTAAGACTGGTTGGACACGTACCTCCACTCTTTCCTATCCTGAGCTAAACTTCGCATTTCCCTAAAACTAGAACAACCCACATC